CAGTGTGAACTCAAAAGGTGGTCTTCAGTAGAAGTTCTTGGAATCGTTATTATTCAGTGTGACCTAATATTTTGTTCGATAACTTGCACAAAAACATGAATGGCATGGTTATTAAATTTACAAGCGACAGAAAGCTGGGAGGCCAGCTAACACACTGAGTGATGATAGATCCAGGGCTCATAAATCTTTTTTTTTTTTTTTTGGCTAGGCAATGGGGTTAAGTGACTCGCCCAGGGGCACACAGCTAGTGTCAAGTGTCTGAGGTCGAATTTGAATTCAGGTCCTCTTCACTCCAGGGCTGGTCCTCTATCTACTGCATCACCTAGCTGCCCCATTCATAAATATTTTATATGTTGATGGGCTAGAATATTGACCAAATCTAATCGGATTAAATTTAATAGGAATAGAAGTAAATCTTCCACTTGGATTTGAAAAAAAAATGATCTTCACAATACAAGATAGGGTGTGTCTGTGACTAGAAATTAGTGCTGACGATTTTTTTTAAGCATTTTTACTGGACTGAAAGCTCAATATGAGTCAGTAATATAATATGACAGCCAAAAATATCTCGTGTGATTTTAGGCTATATTAAGAGAAATACAGTATCTGTCTCTTGCCGCCCTGAACACTATGCATTGTACACACAAATTATCAGTATCTGTCAAGTGAATGGATGGTTGAATTAATAGTGGCTGCCTCCATCCTATATAAGTATATATTTACACGTGCATATACATACATATAATATGCATGTTTGTATGTATATCTGTTTATATCTATATCTGGCTAATCCAGTATCCCAAAAGTCTTAGTATAATTTTAAGCTCTAATACCTATTAATATAAATAATATAATAATTAATATAAATAATATATGCATAAAATTAATATAAAACTAACACCTAATTTAAAAGAAAAGTTTTTTCTTTTGTCTAGACAATGAGGTTAAGTGACTTGCCCAGGGTCACACGGCTAGTAAGTGGTATGTGTCTGAGGCTGGATTTGAACTCAGGTCCTCCAGAATCTGGGGCCAGCGCTCTATCCACTGAACCACCTAGGTGCCCCTAAAATAAAAGTTTTAATGTAGTAAAAAGTTTTGATATAAATAGTTATTGAAGCTTAAAATTTCATGAAGACATCTGGAATGTTTTTATATTTAATTCTTTTGTATATAGTATATGCATATTATATATATGTTCCTTCTCACCTAATTGATGAAGGAACTCTCTTATATTTATAGTTTTTTAAATAGGTATTCTTAAAGTGAAAATATTTTAATGATATGCTTTATATTTTACTGCATATTTTATAATTTGGTTGTTAATGGTAAGATGTTGTTTCCCAAGGTTCTCGAGATGGTCTTTCAATAACTTCATAATGTGATAGTTCTTGCCATTTTCTTCTTCGTGGCATGCCTTGGTCATTTAAAAATAATTTATAACAACACTGACTATAGATTATCAGAAGGATTGGAAAAAAACCCTCTAACCACTTAATATCATGATCATCTGGAGAACATGTTAATGAGTGGTAATTTTCTTATAATTAAACTGCTTTAAAGTATTCATGCTCTCATATTTCACCAGAATGAACTTGCCACTTATAAAATATTCATTATTAACAACATCTCAGAATTACACTTGTCAGTTGCTTCATGTTATAAACCTGTACACAATAAATCAGCACATTAACTCTACTTCATTTACCAAACACTTTAAAGTATGGTCTGATATCATAGACTGCCATCAATTGCAAGCAGCTAAGTGGTGCAGTGGATAAAGCACTGGTCCTGGGGTCAGGAAGACTCATCTTCATGAGTTCGAATCCAGTCTTAGGTACTTACTAGCTGTGTGACCCTGGGCAAGTCACTTAACACTGTTTGTATCAGTTTCCACATCTGTCACATGAGCTGGAGAAGGAAGAGGCAAACCACTGCAATCTCTTTGCCAAGAAAACCCAAATGGAGTCACAAAGAGTCAGACGTGACTGAAACGACAGAGCGACAACAATCATCAGTTGCATATATAACATCCATATCACTAATGTACCATATAATAGTTAAGAGCATGAATGTGAAGGACAACAAATGCCTTCATTGTAGGTAACTGAAAATGTACTTCTAGATACCCATATAGATGCCCCATTTCCCCTCACATTGCTCACTTTTCCCCAGTCTGTTTCAAGACCCAGTCTACTTGGAGATTTTTACCATGTGTAACACGAGTTTCAGATTGGTTGCTTGTCAGTTCCAGGGTCTTGCAGTGATAGGGAACCCAGGCTTTCTAGTCTAACATATACCTGACTGAGAATCCATTTTACAACATCTTTGAGAAATGGTCAGCCCTTGCTTGAAGATTTCCAGTAGAATGGGCAGCTACCTTTACCTGGGGCATCCCATTCCACTTTGGGATTGTTCTCATTTTCAGGGAATTTTTTCTTACATGGAACTGAACTTGCTGCCTTTCGCCTTTTTGCGACTTCCACTTGTTATTTCTAGTTCTAGCAAAGGAGACCACCTGGAACAATTATAAACCATCTTCTGCATGACAGACAACCTTTCCATACTTGAGGAAAATTCTTATGTTTTCCCTCAGTCTTTTCTTGCCCTGGCTAAACATTCTCAGTTCCTTCTACTATCTCATTTGGAAGATTGCAGGGCTCTTCAGTATGCTAGTCACCTTCTGAATCCTCTCTAGCTTAATGGTATCTTTCCTAGAATGTGATACCTGGCACTGAACGTAATGTACTATATGGACTCTAACCAGTACAGAATACAGGAAGACATTGTTCTGAATATTCTTCTATTTTGGCAGCCCAAGATGACTTTTAGTTTGGGGCTCTCTCATTGTTGACTACCACTTAGTTTTCAGTCCCCCATACCTGCAGATCGTTTTGGGGATGAGCCAGACCTGCCCCATCTTGTATACGTGGAGTTGAGTTTTTGAATGCCAAGTGTAAGACTTGAAATTTACCTGCCTTAAAATTTATTTTCGATCAGTCAATAAGGATCGATTGAATAAGGGTTTTCTATATACTATATACTGTGCTAGGCTCTGTAAATGCAAATAGAAACATTGAAAAGTCCCTGCCTGTAATAAGTTTATGGTATACTGAAGTATGTGTTTGTGTGTGGAGGGAGTGGGGTTAGAATACAGCCTATTTATAGATGAGTAAATTCTAGATATATAGAAAATCAATATGGCAGGGTATGGTGGCACAAACCTGTGATCCCTGCTACTGGGGGGGAGGCTGAGGTTGGTGAATCACTTGAGTTTCAGAATTCTGAATTCCAGAAAGCCTAAAGCCAATCCATCAGCCATAATATGAGTATGATGAGCCCCTGGAAATGGTGGGACACCTAAGGAAGATGAACCAACCCAGATCAGAAAAATGGATCAAGCTAAGGCTTCTATACCAATCAACATTAGGATTGAATCCATGAATGGCTACGGTACTTTCAGTCTGGGTGGACTTCAGTCCTGGGAGAACTAGGCTAGAAAGAAAGAGAGGAGAGAAGGAAGGAAGTGAGGGAGGGAGGGAAAGAGGAAATGAGGGAAGGAGGAAGAGAGAAAGAGGGAAGGAATGGAGGGAGGGAGGAAAGAAGAATGGCATGCAGAAAAAAATGATTTCAGGGTATATGTAGGGAAAGGAACTAACAGCTCAGGAAATCAGAAAAGGCCTGTTGTGAAGAGATGCCACTTGATGTATTTGATTTTGTCCAACATATTAGCCCATTAGGAAATGTTTTTGAATCTTGAACACGTCTAGGGAGAGTATGTGAGCTCTCCCTTCCAGCCTGGTGTCATTTTCAGATCAGGAGTCCCTGCAGGGCTCACAAATGACATTCTGGAATACATGTATCATAATACAATGTAAGACATCAATTTGAAATCTTGCTGAAGCTCTCAGGAAAATGTGAAAAAAAAAAAAGGTAGAGGTAAGGATATATCAATGGTGGTGGCATTTTCTGTTTCTGAGTTCTATGTTAGTTTCTCTAGAATTTGACGTCCTTCAGAGTAGGTGCCCTATTTTTTGAATTTCATTTTTTTAATAGTGTGGAGAATGAGTGTGTACAAGATGTCCCAAAAGTCTTAGCACAGTTTTAAGATTTAATCACTTATAACTGATTTAAGACTTTTGGGGACATCCTATATGTGAACTGAGCAAACAATCTGATTAATGAAAGAAGCAGAGGGGGAAGAGATGCTTATGAGCTAAGTGAACACTATTCTGATTAAGGGGATAAAAGAATACCTAGGAAATTTCAAAACGTTTCTAGCATTTTTAGTATTGTCTTTTTGCTTGGCTGCCATAGTTAGGCTGAATCAACCTAAAGTTCAAGCATTCAGGCAGTTACTCTTCACGATTTGTGGAGAGTGCAAAGGCTAAGAAGACAACCCGGAATGGTTGCAGTCTACATCAGTAAAGGTATTATCCGGACTGCTGAAATTGAGAATCCTTCAAAGTATCTAAGTAATTTAAGTAAAACCCCTGCAAAACATAAGCATCTGCTTTTGCCTGAACCATTTATTATTTCCAGGAGACTGGTGTTATGTGTAAAGGGTTTCTTTTAAGTGGAGCAGACTCGTAATTGACTAAGACACTCACATCACTGTTAATAACTTTGGAATAGTAATCAACTAATCCGTAGGGGTGCTAGTGACTGGCAATTTTGAGAATGACCATTTATCATTTATCTAAGAAGTAGGATGTAAAATTAGCCCATGCTTTCTGATGGGTTGAATTCTGTCTTCTTCAAATCTTTAAAAATCTTCACTTTAATCCAGTTAACATAATTTATGAGCCTGACTTCCCTATTCGTGTGATATACTAATCTGAAGAGAGCATCTAAGTACTGCACCATCATCGAAAATGGCATTTCATCTCCGAAAGCAGCTTTCATTGTTGTTTGCTGATTAAGAAGTCATCTGAGGAATCAGGAAGGATGTTTGAAATCCTCTGTAATGATTTTTTTTTTGTATGTGTGTGTTTAATATGCAGCCCCTGTACTTCCTGGGGCCTATCAACAAAGCCAATCCCAAGGCTATGGGTATATGCATCAGACCAGTGTGTCATCCATGAGATCAATGCAACACTCTCCAAGTCTGGTACGTATATAATTTATAAATTCACGAATTTACTCATTCTTTTTCTAGTATATATTAGCCCCCTTTGGTCTTTAGGTCTGTCATGTATATGTTGACTAAAAGAAAAATATGCTAAACATACCTGTTTGCTTGCTAATCTCAACTCTATTTAAATTGTGTAACTAATGACTGAATGTTGTGGGGAAGAAGATTATCTGTTCTTCCCCTTATTTCTTTACTATGAACATACTAAATGCAAGGAGTCTCTGAATGGAAAGAGATCGTAGAGACAAGCCAACCTCCTATCCATTGTAGAAATCCTTTCTACAACATTCTTTTTTCTTTTCTTTTCAGTTTTTTTTTTTTTTTGCTTTTTGGTGAGGCAGTTGGAGTTAAGTGACTTGCCCAGAGTCACGTAGCTAGTAAGCATCATGTGTTTGAGACCGAATTTGAACTCAGGTCCTCCTGACTTCAGGGCCAGTGCACCATTCTTGAAACATGATCATGCAACCTCCTTTTCTGTGACACTTCCAGTGATACACAGCATGTTACGTTTTCAAGTTCAACAAGTGATTTAAATGATTTCTGGTGTAGAGCATTGTCCATTTATGAGAGAGACAGAAGACTTAGAGATGGCACGATCCCTGTTCTTGTGGTACTTATAGCCTAGTGGTTTTTTTTTTTGAGGTAGCCTGTTTTTCAACTCATTGCAGGGAAATCTTCCTTATACTGAGCTAAAATTCCTTGATATATGATATATTTTGTCTAAATTAATGCCAGTGATATTGAGATTAATTGAAGCATTAGCCAACATTGGCAATTAGGTGGCAAAGTGGATAGAGTACCAGGCCTGGAGTCAGGAAGACTCATCCTCCTGAGTTCAAATGTGGCTTCAGACACTCACTAGCTGTGTGACCCTGGGCAAGTCACTTCACCCTGTTGGCCTCAGTTTCCTGTAAAATGAACTGGAGAAGGAAATGGGAAACAACTCTAGTATCTTTGCCAAGAAAACCCCAAATGAGATCACAAATTGTCGGACATAACTGAAAACTCCTGAACAGCAACAAAAGCATTAGCCATTTTAGAAAATTTTAGCTTTACTAAAGAGAATAAAACCCAGTTTAAAAACATTTGATATACCATGGATTCAATTAGATTGCTTTTTTGGTGTATAAAAAAATCTTTATTACCTCTATCACTGTGATCTAAAAACTTTCAAGTGCAACATTACCTTTGTCCCTTGACACACTAGTCAATTGATCCAGAATGAAGCCTGAGTGAAGCACATGAAGAGTTGAAGTGAGATGACTGAGGGAGAGGAAGAATGGCATTGTACAAAAGCCCCAGGACTTGCCGTCCAGAGAGATGTGGGTTAACATTCCAAATCAGTTGTCCTGAGCCTCAGTTTCCTGACCTGTAAAAGGGTCATGCACCCATCTCACTTGTAATTATGAAGAATAAATTTTATATGTATATACACACACATGTATATATGTACATACACACATGTACATATGTATGTACATATATGTGTATATATACATATATGTACATTGCATACACACATACACATATATATCCTTTTGCAAATATTAAGGTGTTCTATGTGTCCACTATGTGAAGTGAAACACAATGGTGAAAAAACAAGACTAAATAACAGCTAGCATTTATATAATGCCTTCAGGCTTGCAAAACACTTTACAAAAACTATCTTATTAGACAAAATAGATCTTTTGAATCTCAGTGCAGTATTGTTTCTACTATATCTCTCTCTACAACTCCAAAGATTGATGTGGAAACATAATGGACCTAATCCTGCAGAGGCTAGAAAGAATCCATAGCTAACTTTGGGGAAATACACTTACTCCTTAGAGAGCGCCTAGGGAATGGGAACCAGGATGGTGGATTCATGTCTTTTGGGCATTGTTTGAAGGAACTAGGGACATTTAGCAAGGTGAAAGAGAGAAAGCTGTTTTAGGATACCTGCCTTGATGCCTAGGTTAGAAGGACTGTCATGTGAAAGAGGAAACTGACTTGGCTCTGATTGAGTTCTGAGAATAGACCTTGGTAGTTACAGAGGCAAACTGAAACTTAATAGCAGGAATACCATCCAATCAAGAGCAGAATGGGATACGTTGGGTGGTAGTGGGTTCCCTTTCACGTGTGGTTCTCAAGCAGGGCTGGATAACTATTGCTCCTAGATATTGTAGAGGGGATTTCCATTTAAGGTTTCGTTGGACTCTGAAGTCCCTTCCAATGCTGAAATTCTATGATTTTGTGACCCTTCAGGGATTGTAAACACCATTAGTGATTATGATGGCTTTTTGAAAATTTAGCATATTATGTTATACTTACATAGAGTAGCTATGTGAGGCAGTTAGGTGGCTCAGTGGATAAAGCTCTGGGCCTAGAGTGAGGAAGACCTGAGCTGATTCTGGCCCAGATAGTTGTGTAATTTTGAGTAAGTCACTTAATCTCTGTCTGCCTCAGTTTCCTGAAATGTACAATGGAGATAATAACAGCACCAACTTCTCAGAATTGTGAAGACTAAATGAAATCATATTGATAAAGCACTTAGCACAGTGCCTAGCACATAGTAGACATTTAATAAATTTTTCCTCCTTCCCTTCTTTCTCTCCCTTTCATCCTTCTTTCTTTCCATATACCAAGGAGAGAAATGATCTAAAAGGATAATCATATATATAATAACACACATATTACATATACATATGTAATAAATCATATGAAAGCACAGAAATTATTTTGATTCATTTCACACTTTCCTTGAGAAAATATAGATTCTTAATATATGTTATAATAAGAATAATTGGCTACTTGATTAGTCTATCAGACAATCACTTATTAATTATTTAGCATGTGCCATACACTGTGCTAAGTCCTCAGGATACAAAGAAAACACAAAAATACTTCCTGCCCTCAAGGAGCTTGCATTTTAATGTAGGAGTAAAAAATATATGTATGATATACACTATACATACAGAATAAATGGAAAGTAATCTTAGAGAAGAACTACTTGCAACTGGAGGAACTGAGAAAGGCCTCCTGGAGAAGGTGACATTTCAGCTGAGTCTTGAAGGAAGGCCTCTCCTCTGACTGGAAGGGGAAGAGGGAGAATGTTCCAAGCATATGGAGTAGTCAGTATGGAACCAGATGGGCCATTTGGGAGCAGTATCAAGTGAGCGTGTCTGGCTGTATCGGAGGGCATACGGAGAGAAGTGATATTTAAGAAAACGGGAAAGATAGTGAAGAACTTTAAATGCCAGTAAGGGGTTCATATTTGATCCTAGGGGTAATAGGAAACTGTGCTGAAATTTATTGAGTAGAGGAGAGACATGGCCACAACTATGCTTTAGTAATATCACTTTGGCAGAAGTGTGGAGAACATATTGGAGTGGGGAGAGACTTGAGGTAAACAGAATTACTAGAAGACTGTCATAATAGTTCAGGCAAGAGGTGATGAGTGTCTGAACTAGGGCAATGGCCATGTGAATAGAAAGAAGGGGATATGTATGAGACCTGTGGAGAAATAAATTAAAGATCTGGCAACCAGTTGGGTTAATTGAAGAGTTAAGGATGACATCAAGGTCATTAACCCAGATGACTGGTAAGCCACTTTTGTGTGTAAGGTACCCTTGATAATGGGAAATTAGGAAGAAGGCTATGTATAAGGGGAGATGGAAATCAGTTCTCTTTTGGAGATCCAAAACGGTTTGAGATGCCTATGGGACATCCTGTTCAAATTATCCATTTGGCATTTGGTGATTTGAGACTGGACCTCACGAGAGAGATTAAGGCTGAATATATAGAATTGGTAATCATTTACATGAAAATGATTGTTGAACCCACTAAATGAGAGCATTAATAGAGAAAAGCACCGCAGGACAGAGCCTTGTGGGATACCCACAATTAGCAAATGGGACATGAATAAAGATTCATCCAAGGAGACTGAGGTCACCTAAGGAAGAGTTCTGAGAAAAAGCAGAGTCATGACAACATTCTGGAGAGAAGAGAATGTCCAGGAGGTGAGGGTTGTCAGCAGAGAAATCACCATTTTCAGGTGCCATAGAGTGGTCAAGAAGTTGAGGCCTGAGAAAAAGCCAGAAGATTTGGCCATTAAGAGGTCATTGGTCACTTTGGAAAGAGCTGTTTCAGTTGACTGAGAAGTCTGAAGTCAAATTGCTGAGGGCTTGGAATAAAATGAAAGGAGATAAAGGGGAGGGGCTAGGTAGAAGAATTTTTAAGCAAAGCCCAATATATTAATGGCAGAGCAGGCACTAAATATACAATTTCTTCCTAGTCCCACAAACATTATCTTGATGAATAAATTTTAATACCAATAATAGTAACAATAATAACTACTAACATTTCTATAGCATTTTAAGGTTGACATTTATATACCACTTTAAGGTTTACAAAGTATTTTATGTATATTATCTCATTTGGAAATGGGATAGTGTTTATTTTCTTCTGTATTTGGGGCAATATGCATATCTTGAGACTCACCTATTCTGAATTGACATTTTAATAAACTAGCTGTGGAGTTTAGATCATCTTATATATCCTTTGAATCTCTTACCCCTAACAGAATTCTTGGTGCCTTGTAAGTACCTAATAAATGCTTGTTGAGTTGAAATTAAGTTCTTTACATTCTTTTACAACTGTCGTGATAGGACCCCAGGGTAATATCACATCTGCCAGGTGCTGAGTCTGCAAATATTTACTCTCTGGTTTGGCCTGGTGCAGAAATGGTTCTACTTGAAACTACTCCTAGAAATGCTTTCTTTCTGTGGCTGTTTAGATAACATTAGAGGTCCAGTGTGACTTAGTAAATAAAGTTCTAGACTAGGATACAGAAAAATCTTGGTTCAGATCTTAGCTATGACACCTACCCCTCTGTAGGTGTGACCATAGACAAATCAATTTCTTTCGGTGAACCTCAGTTTTGTAATCTGTAAAATGGAAGGGGTCATACCTTTAGCATCTAACTTCCAGGGTCATAATGAAGCTAAAGTGAGATCACATTTCTAAGCTTTAAAATTCTTTATGTGTTGGATATTGTTAGTAGTGGTAATGAGGGTAGGATAGCGATATTGTAGCAGTAACTTCCAGTAAAATGTTACTTCAGAGGCTACTTCCAGGAAAAGTCTTACTTCCATGCTGTGGGAGATGACCCTGCATTTGCAAAGGCTATGTCAGCAGAGAGCAAGCTCCAGCAGGTTCTTTGGAACTGGAGAAAAAAAAAAACCACTTTAAATACAGGCCTGGCAGTAACCTATGGTCCTGAGAGAGAGGAGGTACCTTTTGATGGTCATAGCAACTGATAAAGACCATCTACTAATGATGAAAAAGAGCTATGGTTGAGTGATGGTAATTCCTCCTTTGGCAAAATCACAGATCTTTGGAAGTCCCAATCAGTATATTGCTCAGTAAAGCAAAATAACTGGTATTTATATGGTGCATTAAAACTTGCGAAGCAAACAAATACAAGATCCCCAAAAGTCTTAGAGCAGTTTTAAACTGCTAAAGTTTAAAAGTACTCTAAAACTTTTTGGGATATTGTATGTGGATGAATGTGTGTGTTATCATTTGATAACAACACTGTGAGGCAGGACCCATAGGTATTATGACCCCCATTTTATGGATGAGGACACTGTCTTAGAAAGATAAAGTGGATAAAGTGACTTGCCTATGGTCTCTGGAGCTTGTCAGTCCAGCTAATATATGAACCAGGGCTGCTTCTTGACTCCCAAGTTTTTTGCTGATCTATGATTTTACCTCCTTGTACTCAGAGAACATCTCTTCTTTTCCATCAACAGAGGACCTACCGAGCAATGTACGATTACAGTGCTCAAGATGAAGATGAAGTTTCCTTCAGGGATGGTGACTATATTGTCAACGTGCAACCCATCGATGATGGATGGATGTATGGCACTGTGCAGAGAACTGGGAAAACTGGAATGCTTCCAGCCAATTACATTGAGTTTGTTAACTAATTCTTTCTCCTCCTTCCCCTTTGATTTATTCTAATATGTTCCAAAACCTAACCTTTTTAAAAAGATGGAAGATACTTTTAAGACCACTTATTAGCTATTTTATCACTGAGATAAGTCAGTCCTTAAATTGAAAAATAGACACACAGGTCCCAGAAAGAAAGGATGGGCTCTCAGCCAAAAGCAGCAGTAGATCTAGTCGTTCCAAAAACCAACCAACTCAGTTAACTGTGACTGGATATCTAGTGCTGGTAACTGTGTTAATGTTTTCCTCTGATTGGCTCCTGATCCCTTGTATAAAATGTCCTTTTCTGGTATTGAAAAGAGGCCTTGCTTCTCCCTCTAAATCTGATAAGTAACGGAAACCTCTTAGCTGTCACTATGGAATCATGAGAGATCCAGTCCATTAGTATAATAATAGCACATCTAGTAATTTCCAAGCTGTTTAAATTTAGACTCGTTAAGCAGGTACCAAATACAGTTAGTTGGAAACTGTTAAGGACTGGTAGAGAATAGGCTGGTTAAAATCACATTGTCTTATCCAGTAGCCATAGTGGTAAAGAAAGTTTTGCTCACACAATAAAAAGATTCCCAGCTTCCTCAGCACAATGGCATCTGTGCTCTCCATATGCATTCCCAGGTGTGCCCCTCTCCTCCACTTACATTTGATAGGGCCAACTGGTTAAGACTCCCTTTCTGCTTTCTATTATTTATCCCCTAAATCTGATTCAGGGAAAGAAATATAATATTTGCTTGGCCTCAAAAAATGTCAGGGCCAAATAACTTCATAGCTACTCTGCAAAGGCCTAAATTCAAATGTCGCCTATTTTCCTTTCCTAATCTCCTTTACCCTGATTACCCCAGGTAGGCTTAAGCTTATGTACCATATGCAGTATTACTGCATAGCCCATAACCATACTGTTTATTCCTGTCATAACAGCTAAATGCATAGCTGATTTAAAAAAAAATCCTTCCTATTTGCCAGCTCATCAGAAAAAAAAAAGAATTTAAAAAAGTTGCTTGAGATTCTTCTGCTGTGCTGCATTGTAATTTTGAAGGAGTTACAACCTTAGGAAATAGACTTACATCTAGTAAATAAATAATTTAGGTATTCCTTGAGCAGCTTTCACTGACAATGCTTCTATATTAAGGGGAAAAAAAGACTAACAGGATCCGGTGAAAAGTTGAATTTGAATGAAAAGTATTGAAAATTGCAAAAAAAAACGTTAATGGAAAGACAGAGATTCTGTTTAGGGTATGATGAATGGGTGGTTCTCATTTGACTTCTGGCATGGAAATTCAGCAACCTAAACTGGTTATAAAAGGATTCTCTTTCTACTTTGTATTATGTCTCCTCTAGACCTAATTTGGGCAGGGGGTGGGTGGCAGGATGGGAGTGGGAATAGGAAATTCTTTAGAGATTTTCAGCAAAGACACAATGAGTAGCTCATTAGTTGAGGAGTGATCACAAAGGCTGATATTTCCCACAGAAAATGAGTAGAAATTCCCGTCAAATTAGTGCCACTGTTACCTGGAGTCACAGTGTCATGAAGCCAGAAGCTGAATAGAGGAGCCAAGGTGTGGATGCACCTGTATTTTATTTTTTTCTGATTTTGCAGTTTATTGTTATTTCCAGTGAGATTATACACAAAGAACATATGGATTTTTTGTACCAGTGCTAAACTTTGCTTAATGCTTTATTTTTTTAAACTGTCCAAGTATTTAGTAAAATGTACAGTATTTAGAGGGGATATCTGTAGCACAGAACGTATTGGAAATTTTAAAGTAACAGTAAGCCTGAAACAATGTCTTGTAACTGCAGATCTTATGGGGGCCAAAGTTAAATGTCTGTTGAGATTTTAGACCTTTGAAAATCTGCATTGTCTCACTTGGGTGAGATGATGGAATTAAGAAAGCCAATAAGCTATATTTCAATCTATTTATATCTACTTGGCATCAGTAAGACTTGAAAAGGGAAAATTTCAGTCAATCAGGCTTATTTTGGATGGGGTTTGGGGTGGTAATAACATCACCTAATAATGGATTTGACTGTTTTCATTTGTCATTGACTTGGAAAGTTATTTAGCTGAATCAATGCAATCAACGCTGTTTTGGGGGGTTATTCAGGCACAGACTAAGGGAAACCTAAATATGTAATTGAATCGAAGAATGTGCTTTGACAAAAACCCAATCTAAAGGCAATAAGCCTCTTCACTCCCACTTGATTGTTAAGTAAATATGTAAATTCCAAGGCTCCAGATAGACCATTTTTTGTGATAACTTAAAAAAAATTAGGAAAGGAAGAAAGCATTTGGTAATTGCAATTTCAAACAAAGCAAAGCTATAATTTTTACAAACCCATATGTAGTATGCTCAAGGAAAACTGACTTTAAGTGATCATTAGAATCAGGGCTACAAAGTGACTACAGACTTGCTATTTTCTATTTATTCTGTAGTTTCAAAACTCAAATTTAGAAAATGTAAACACCCACACGAGTGCACATGTATCCACATAGATGCAGTCTTCTATTTCTGAGCTTCACGTAGGATCTGGATATCAATCAAGATAATTATTCATGTAATGCCAACCAGCAGTAATTAAGGAGCAAATGTCAGCATTGAAATAATTGGCAGGGTTGTAGATGTGGTAAAGCAAGATAGTGTGTCCTCTGAAGATCATAATTCATTATTGTTGTTCATGGTTACAAAATCTTGTACTGATGCTAAGTATCTCTGAAGCAAGAGAAACACTAGAAACAGAAATCTTATATCAAAGTACTATCTCTACAGTGTCACAATGTACAATGTACTTTCTTATTTTAAGGTACATTCCTGGTGTTCTTATTTGATTCTTTATTAACATTCCACTTGACACCACCATCCTTCCCCCATCCTAATCCAGCTTGGTGACATCTCTCATATAAAACACTGACAGTGAAAGAGCAAAGTTAAGAATAAATAATCTATTTTATCGAGTCAAAGAGGACTGCGCCATACCAAAAAAAAAAAAATAGAAAGGGTGAATGTCCCTACCTTTCTAATCATGGGATGTTTGCAAGAGTGATAAAAGCAGCTAGACCAGTTTGATATGTTTTTAAAGGTTCCCAAGAACAACAACAAAAATTCAAAACTGTGTGTGAATCGTTTTTTCTCTTGAGAATGACGTTAATAAGGACATATTTCTTCTGTTGTAAGTAAGGTTTTGTAGTACACGTTTTTACTAATTCTTATCTAGGAAAGCTTTCTATTTTTAACCTGTGGCAAAATGAATTCTCCTTTGTCATCTTGTTATCATCGACTCTAATTAGCAGCATAATCCAGTTTGCAGTGTTGGGATCCATATCTCACATCCCACCGAGCTCAGCAGAACATACAAAAGTATGGAAGCACAATTCTCAGAACCACCTTGTGTAGACCTGCCATTGTAGCAGGGCATTACTCAACCTGTGTTTTTGCTTCTCTCATCAATTAAGGGAAGTGACAAGTTGTGCTTCAGTGCATTTCAAAGACTGGAGAGAAGTCCTTTCTCAAAGAGGCAGTATGACTAAAGTTGCCCCTCTATTTCAGATTCATTCACCTCCACTGGAATGTTTTAAAGGCAAAAATAATAAAATGTGTGTTACCCCTTAAAAGCATACATGTGTAAACATGGAGAGAGTGAATAAGATTTAATAAAATGGGTGCCTTGTTGATTACCCCCCCCCCATTTGTCCACATGGTCTTTGAAAGTAAACCAAGTAAGCTTCTGTTGCCGGTTCTACAGGAACGCTCATATCATTTGTGATTTGTATTTTAAGAAGTGGGAAGGTCTGGAGAAAGAAGAGCTCTCTTTGTCATCCAGCCATATTGGGGTTAATAACTAATTGCATTTCACTTTCAGAAGAATTCAAACTCATAAAAATGAAAGGGCATTTTTAAACTTTTCCATCTCTTCCTTGAGAGCTCCTTGGGGACTTAAAATGCCTATGGTTCTTTAACACAAGGGTTAAATTTAGGTTTGGGGATTTTTAGTATCTCCTAGACAAAAGAATTATGAGGCACAAGCATTTGGCAGAATTGACTTCATTAGAAGAAAATTGTTTCATGATTTCACAACTCATTCTTTGCCTGTAAGAATCTAAAACCTGTGTAGATAGGTAGGCCTATAAAAGTTGCTAGATTATGGCTGTCCTGAGTCACATGAAATATGGAAACAAAAAACTTTAGTTAAGTACTGTCTTAGTAGTAAAACATATAAATTAGATTAAAAATGCTAAATGAAAGTAGCTCTTTGAAGTGATATATGCCCTTCGGGGCTCTTTGCAGGCAATTGCTAACTACTGCCGATGTAAAAAGCTAAGACTTTAGATAAGCTGTAGCAATCATTCCAAGATGCTTTAGACTACAGGAACCCCCTGCCACAAGTTTGGAAGAAGCCTCAGGACCATCTGTTCCCCCTCAAACTCTGTGATCCACTACAATGTATTTGTGGGGATATCATATGCTTTTTGTGTCTGATATACAATATAAAGTTTGCATACTAGATTTAAGTTGTAATCCATTTGCTGTTGAGAATAAATTGTATTGGAAGATGAAAGGATAATGCATGACAATCATGTGCTTGGGTATTGCACTGGACAGGTTGCTGGACCATCAGAAAATACCACTGAATGTACTATTGACATGATGTGGAAACTATAAGCTGTTGGTTTTTGCCATGTGATGTTAAAAAAAAATAGCAAAAAGAAACTACGGGGCAGTTTGGCTTATATTTGCTTTAAAGTATGTAGAATTTGAGTTTGTTATCCTGCTTTTTTTTCTTTCACTTTACTGTATTTGCTTAAAAGGCATGTAGTTAAGAAGGAAACAATGTTTTTTTTGAATGGAGGGACTTACAGAATGAAGTCATGTGTTGACATAATTTGGCTTTTGTTATGCAGATTGTTAACACCAGCTATTAAAATATATTTTAGTAGAAATGCTTTAATTCACATTCTTTTCCCTTTACACTGTGAATCTTGGTGGACTGCAACAACATCATGCTAACCCAAATACTAACCTATGCAAACTAGATCACGTTTCATTTGATGTCACAGTGACTGTAACATGATAGTTTTTTCCCTGCCTAACATGCAATGGCATTAAAAACAAACGGTTGAGTCTCACATCATGTATGTCCATCGTGGTCACTGAACGCACTCTTCAATGCAGCTGTCGTCATGAGGATCAGTCTAGGAGCAAAGCACCAGTTCGCTTGGCTTGGTCGATGGATTGTTAAAATGAGAAGGCTGGTGATGTACGCTTGCTGTGGCTCCAGCTTGCTTCTTTTGAGTGTTTTCCTCAAGTAGAACTGTGTGTAAAAATGTCCTCTCTTCTGGGTATGGGTATTCTTTTCTCCATTCTGTATTTGTGAAACTTTATAAAAGCATTAATTTTCCATTCCTACACACTTGGTTTGCTTAAATAAATGCAGGTAATGATGAAACGGGGTCTGCTGCTTGACTGTCGCTTTGGGAGACAAGATAATGGTCTATTAGGCTGAATACAGCATTAGGCTGTACCTCAGTTGAGCCATTAATCGGGTATGAGAGGTGGACGTGATGGCACATCTGGCACCCAATCACTTATACGTACACTTAACGCTAGTCAGTTACCTAAAAGGTCTTTTCCAATTAAGACGTAGTTATAAGGAATCACCACAGTTCTTTTCCAAGTATGGTGTCTCTTTACAACACCAATGGCTGCTACAGAAATGCAATGTTGTGTTTAGTGTTGTTTACTTTGGTGTTTACTTGCCTGTATCATACTCAGTAGTTCAAATTTTAACTTTTAGCATTTATTCAAGGATAAAACCAATTTATAGAAAAAAACAGAAAGCAAAGATTAAACGTATGATTCAGGCCATACTATGATACTCTCGTTATGTGGTGTTCCATTTGTCAGAAGGGGTATTAGTATTTTTCTAATTTCTCTATAATGTAAAAATAAATCTAAATTAATCCTTAGGAAGACTTTTACTTTCATATAAATTTCCTGTGGCCTCACTGTATTTTTATTTGGTAGTATATGACCTAGGGTAGCATGATGAACTGAAATGAAAACTGCATTTAAAGTCAGCAGACCTGGGTTCAAACCTTAGTTCCTGCATTGTGTGAACTTGGGCAAGTCACTTAAGTGCTTTGGGCCTCTGTTTCCTCATTTATAAAATGAGAGAGTTGAACTAGATAGTAGTTTGTGAGATCCATCCCTTCTAATTCCAGTATACAATCCTATAATCTTCTCAGTACTGAACTGATGAACTTTTCAGATAAATCTCAAAATAATTCTCTTTAAACTCTTTGTCTAGGTGGTACAGTGAATAGAGTGCTGGGCCTGGAATCAGGAAGGCTCATATTCCTGAGTTCAAATCTAGCCTGACACTTAACGTGACTTAAGTGACCCTGGGCAAGACACTTAACCCTATTTGCCTCAGTTTTCTCATCTGTAAAATGAGCTGGAAAAGGAAATGGCCAACTGTTCCAGTATCTTTGGATACCCCCAATAGATTCACGAAAAGTCAGACAAGACTGAAATAACTTCACCACCACCACCACATTTTAAAAAGCAAACGTCAGTTGTCTTATCTAGCAAATGCATTCATTCTTTCAGTGGTAGCAGTGCTTAGAAATATGTTGACATTACCGTTGTAAAACATAATTTTTTATTGGGGAAGGATGATAAATTCTCTCCTGCAGCCCTCCATTTTTACTATCATTTTTTTCTTTGTGGCTCTCTTGCAATTTCTGCAGTATAGACAGCTGGATAACATGGCAGGGATGGAGTAATTTTTATGGAACATTAGGGAAATCAGTTTTAGTTTGAAAGTTCAACGTATTTTAATTTTTATTATGTTATGAAAAATCTTGCAAAATGAGTTAAATAAGATAACCTACCAGAAATCGTCTTTTCCTATTAAAACTTTAGAAATGCCAAAGGACTAAATACAATTAGTCAAAATCCCATTTCCCCCCTGTGTGATGAATGCCTTGTTCCTACACAGAAAGGTCTGAAACTGATTTTTGTGATTTCTCAAAATTAAATATAAGCCATATGCTAACTTCACATTATCTTTTGCAGTTCTAAGCAAAATTCTTAGCCCTTCAACTATTGTGTAAAACATTATTTGGGAGTGAGTTGGGCATAGTTGAAAACCTGAAAGATTAAATGAATTTAAAGGGTAAGGAAATCATCATGAGAATAGAGCATCTAAGTTGCTGGTTTCCTATTTCTGCCCTTGCTGTCTCATTCTCCACCTTCTCTCAATTTTTTCTTCAAGCAGTCATGAAAGAAAGATGAGAATCAGATAAGGGATTGGGTGAAATGAGTGTTTTAGTTATTTCATCAGAGGTAACAGTGAACTTTCTGCATCCTTAATTTGGAAACTGGCAAAATGTGTCTTCTCATTATTTCTCCCTTTAACGTCAATTAGAGGTATATTTTCTAACCTTTGGGGATTTCCCCTTGATTCTAGTACCTTTGGAATTCCTTACAATTTCAATGTGTCATCAAACTCACATAACTGTTAGAAGTACATATTTTGAAAACTCTAAGTAAAAGAGAGGCCATTCTCTAAGACTTAAAGTTGAAGATGAAATGCCAACCTGTACTGGTAGAAGGAATTTCCTCTCTGGGAGTTCTCCATGCCAATGAAATTCAAGATCTCCTCCAAACTAAACTAAAGCAAACTAAAATAAATCACTGTTTTTCACCTTTGAGTGTTAGCTGGAAATTTCCTTAAACTGGGATGAACTTGCTCCTTGTGGTTCAATGAAACAAAAAAGGTTAAGAAGGCCTGCTCTAGGATATCCAACTGTAATTCCTCAACACAAAACCCTCTACTTGGTAATTTTTTTCCACCCTGCTGAGCAAACATGATGGAGATGAGAGTTTTCTTCTAAAGAAGTCTTGGTAGCCACAATGATGCACCGTGGGTAGCTGAAAAGGCAAGAGGGTGGTTTACTGCAACATGGAACCTACAGAGCTAAACTCTCCCCCTACTTGTTTTCCCCTAAAAATGAAAAGAAAAGCTCTCAGGGAATACTCCCAGCCAGTACAGTGAAGAAGGTAAGTTTGTCATGACTAAGTGACTTGATCTATTTGACAGTGATTTAATCAAATCAATACAGTGATTCATATAGGTGGCAGAGACAACCCTAATGGCTAATTCCACTGACTACAACAGGGATTTTTCCACTATGTACTGATAATAAAGCATGTTAAAAATGATCTAACATCTCAAACTTTTCACCACCTTGCTTCCAGAGCAGGAGAAACATTACATTTCGAGGGGCCATAAAATTGTTGTTAAGGACTACTGATAGCACAAAGAGTCATGTAGGTCACATTTTTTTTTTTTATCTCTAAAGGTAAACACGTAAGCCATGATTTATTAAAAGCTTCACTACCATAGCTTAAAGGAAAGCATGATACATTGGCTAGATGAAGTGTTTTGCACATCAGTATCATAAAATTTGGGTATGATATATTTCAGATCTCCTTTATTAGAGACATATCACTCCTCTATCTTTGGCAAAAGAGGAAAACATTGTATTGATGGAAAAATTTGTAAACAGTTTCTTTTAAACTGAGGATGAATTCTAGATAGGCTCCTATTTGCTACAAATATAACACTACAAAGCAGCATAATTCTGTGGGGGTATTTCTATCGCCAACCGAAAATTGTTCCATCTTCAGTCTACTCAGAATTGCTTTTATAGGCAAATTAAAAGAGTCTCATCAGGCCCTTTGCTTCAAACCTGTTCTAGTGCAAAAGAGAGGAAGTTGTCAATATCAGATAAATTTAGTAGATTAACAAATTTTATTAGTTTAGAAAAAATATATTCAACTTGGACGGAATACAATCATTTACCTTTCAACAGGTTGGCAGAAAAAAAGTGATGTATCTACAACTATCACAAGGTCATATGCTTTTCAGCAAAGCTATGCAAAAGACAACTCTTGAATGAGAGGTTTGAACTTTAAAGTGACCTTTAAGCTCTTTTCCAACTTTAATATGTGTGATTCTACAATCTAGTAATTTGGGCAGTTAAGTGATGCAGTGCATAGAATGCTGGGCCTGGAGTCAGGAAGACTCATTTTCCTGAGCTCAAATCTGACCGCAGACACTTATTAATTATGTGACCCTGGGCAAGTCACTTAACCCCATTTGCCTCAGTTTCCTCATCTGTAAAATGAGCTCAGAAGAAAATGGCAAGCTATCCCAGTATCTCTGTTGAGAAAACCCCAAATGGGGCCATGAAGAGTCAGACACAATTGAAATGACTGAGCAACAATAAATCTAGTAATTTAACATGCTGATTAAGTAGGATGGTATGGTTGGAGCCCCCAGATCTCCTAAGGGAACCCTCCCCCTGGCCTGGGAATAAATATGGGATCGTAGAGTGTCTGAATAAACCCTGCCAGAAGCACTCAGGTAGGTGAATTCCATATTATGGCAGAGGAGCACATCCATTGAGTTGAGAAGTTTTGCCATCTGTGTTTAGGGAATTGGGGGCATCTCAGAATGTGCCCAGAGCCCCAGAAGAAACTTGCAGGGGGAAGGACTCAGCTTGACATTTTGTATAGTTTAGTATTAACCAGTAGATTGGCAATTTCCCAACCTTCATAGAATTATACAGACTTTGGCAGCCATACCTCTGCATATTATTTCTAAATTTACATATTTTCTCTTATGTATTGATGCTAAAAAAATACACTCTTTCGGATTGTGTAGCAGCCCTGGCAGGAAAGTAATAAAGAATGTGTATATGCTATTTCTAGGATGTCAGGGGATTGTAGTAATAACAAAAATGGGGAGGGGGAAATAGTAATATGTGACCAGGTGCTACTGATCTCTGAAACTTAATTCAGTCAGTCCAGAGGCCTATAAGGTCAAGGTACCTTGATCCAGAGGTTAGATTTCAGTGAGATTAGAAACCAGTAAGAATCAACACTTCCCTCTCTCCCTCCCCCCACCAAAGAATCTTCTGATTTATTTCCAAATAGATGAAATCCCAGGTCTTTCTCTTGGGACTCTTAAACTTCTCTTGAGGGTGATCAGATGGAGTTTCAGAACAATAACATTTGAAATGCAGCCTAGATTGTAACTGAACGATTTTTATCATCACAGTGTTTCATCTACTTCTATCAGAAGGCTCAAATCATCATTGATTTAAAGCTTCAAGAGATCTTAAAGGTTAGTTGGACCTCTCCCACTCATCTTGTTTGCCCAAGATTACATGTAGTAAGGTGGAAGAGCCTAGATTTGAACCCAGATTATCTGACTTCAAATGTAGTATGAATTCTCTTAATTCTGTTCAACATGGCACAATGGACAGTCTGACATCAGCAAGTCAACATTGAAATCACCTCTCAGACTCTCACTACCTCTCGAATCTCAATTTCTTTATCTTTAAAATGGTGGCAATAATAGCACCTGCCTCCTCT